ATGCAAAAAAAAAAAAAAAAAAAATTGGAAAGACAAGAGTTTGATATTGTACAGAGCTAAACGTATGAGTTTTCGAGAATGATGTGGTAAAATATACAGATCTGGACACTTTTAAGGAAACATGTTTCTGAACGCTTTCCTTTGGATATTCCAAAAACATATTTTGCAATTAATTATTCTCAATTTGATGAGATTTTCTCGGTTTGGCAAGTATTCCTGTGTCTTGATGTACAGTACGCCTTTGTAAACAGAAACGCTTTAATCTCTTACGCAAGAAAGGACCTTAATGCGACCAATGCTCTCTTTATCGTTCCTCCCAATGCTACAAAAGCTACACAATCCAGGTTGAATACCATTGTTGTTATGAGGCACGTAGTCGCAAAATTTAGTTTTGGAGTAAATGACGTGGTTCCTAATTTAATCGTTTGAATTCAATTTGACCCCATCCGGTAGTTTGTTCTGACATCTCTTGTCTAAAACAATTGGAATATGGGACAATTAGTGTGACAATATACAAGACGACTACGCCGGAGGAATTTGAAAACGGAGGTTTTACTCTGAAAACCCATCAAATGTTTTCCGTCCACACTACACCAGAGAAGTTTGAAAACACAACAATCACCGGTTATTTTGGATTTTTTAGTAAAACTCGGACAGGGAGATATCAGGATCATCGTAACCTCAACGCTTTGGAGGAACCTCCTTTTTGTGACGGATTAGCACGGACAGAAGGCCCACCGAAAACAATGAAGCTCCGTTTTCAATTTCTCCCGATGTAGTGTGGACGGGGCCTGTCATTGTGTCCGCGTGAAGATTATAACCAATCTACTATCAAGGAACGACGGCCAAGGTTCTTAGCTATACAGAACCCATGTTTTGTCAATTTAAGGTTAAAGTCGCAAGGCTTGAACTTCGTGGACGGTTGCCAGTTAAACCGCAGCCTAACAAACGAATAGCTTGCACACCAAGCGCCAACTACCGTACTGACAGATTAAATGTATTTAGGAATTACACTGGCCATTAAACGGCAATTATAACGTTAGGCTGTGAATCTCCATTTAGGTGATTTTGACCCCAAGGAACGGTTGTGTATGACGTCACTTGTTACTGGTGAAATATTCGGCAAACACTGCACACGCAAACGCTGTTCAGCTTCAGCTAACATGTCCATTTCGAAAAGGGTTAAAAAGAAATTGACGTCCATACGCAAGAAAAAGAAAATGACGTATTTTTTATTGAGCTGGTTCTTTTAATTTTGGTCAAGCTAGCTTTTGTTTCTTTTTAC